ATTCTCTAGTAGACGGGATCCGCAGCATGCCTTCTCTGCCAGATCTGATGGGATGGGCAGATGTAACTGGGGAGAGATGGTCCCTCGGGTAACCCGACCCCATGCCATGAAGGGCTTTAAAGGTCAAAAACAGCACCTTGAATTGGACCCGGAAGCAAACTGGCAAACAGTGCAGCTCACGAAGCAGAGGTGTAACGTGTACCACCCTAGGGGCACACATAACTGCCCACGCTGCTGCATTAAGTTGTTGATTTCATTATTGTATTTCTAATTTACACCAGATTTAAGAGTTACCAAGTCATACAATCAACATATACACATTTGTATTTGCAGAAAGTTAAATTTTGAATTAGCCCTTAAACCTGCAAATTCAGACTGGGAGGACTCAATCTTTATCCAAGTATTTATAAAACACAGGGCAGAAAATGGAGCCAGTGCTGTAAAGAATGAAAGGGGAAACGCTCAAGGTTTTGGTACCCACCCACTCTTCAGGCCTCTAGAAAAGTATGAATGAAGGACCCGGGGTTTGAAAAGAAAAGATCTTAAACCAGAGCAGCTAAGCTGGATGAAATGGGAAATCAAAATATGGTTATCACCCTTTTTAATGAACCTTTGAAATATAAAATTCCAATGAAAAGAATTTCAGATAATTCCAAATAAAGGAGTATTCTAAGAATTTAGAATACAAACTTAATATAAATCCAGTGTTGTAAAATTATTACTTTTAAAAAATCTAGTTCTTGGAATAAGTGTCAGTCTCATGCATATATACCTTTCTTTTCATACGGTAGTGCTCTACATCAGGAGCTGCCATTTTTGGAATCTGGTTACCATGAAAATTAATCCTGGTGACACACTTTGTTAGTTTGCTCTAGCAAAATTAGCAAATAGTTTTGAGATATCTGTATGGCATAAACTTCATCAGATATGTTAAATATTATCCTGAGAAACATCTATACATCCTTAATGACAGTGTTGGAGGAATAGTAAAACAAGAAAAAGAAAAGAAAATGTAGAAAGTGCAGATAATGCCAATGACCAAAAATGGTGATACTTGTAAGACTATGACATGGGCTTTAATCAGTAGATTAACACGTCATGTGATAAATATATTTATATATCTGTTTTATCCTTGAAAAAGTGTTATACAGTTCTGATTCTTCACAAAAAATTGGTCTGACTGGATTGAGGGGATGTCTTAGGGTGGCCATACACTGGCTCTATTCCCTCCACATATTTAACCTGGTGAGCCAGTAACCCAGTCACATCTCCTTGCCAGTGATTCTGGTAGCCGATACAAGAGTGGGAGGGATGTGTGGCCATGATCACTGTTACAGAGGGTGTTCAGGGGCTGGCAGGGAATTCTGTAATGGAGAGTCGTAATGGCTGTTCCTGCTGCTCTCCAGCCCTACCTCTTTTCCTTGAAGGACTGAAAAGGGGATCAGCAACTGCTCTATGACTTGCCTGATTGGGGGAGGGCATTATAGCTAAAAACAAACCCAGAGCTGCCCCTTCTTAATTCCCAGCTAACTGGGAATATGCATTTCTTTATTCACAATGACCCTGTTGTGTTCTCTCAAATAAACCTACATAATCATGGGGATGAAATGATGGTCAGGGAAAAACCTTTATAAGTAAATGTGTGAGAGAAATATAATAAAAAGGTAATTTATTGTAGCATCAAGAACATCTGCAAGCCATAATAGACAATTCCAAAGGAATTGCTGTGTAGCAGTTCAAATGCAGGTTTTGTTTACATTTTGAATATCAGACTTGAAATACAGATTACATTTACTTACAATAAACTTATTTTACTTATTCTCTTGTTAATATTCTTGCTTCTAAAGTAAACTAGTTTGGTCCTTAGCTGGTGTCAGTTATCTTCCTCCCCCCCCTCCCTAATTTTGGGAAGGAAGCATCTGCAAAAGAAAGGCTTTGTTATCCTTCCTTGCACAAAATGTGCTCAGCCCAGGTTAGGACTCCTTGTGGTTATTCTAGAGTAAGTTAAAACAAAAGAGAAAGTAGCACAAGAACTAATTAATAATCCTCAGTTTATTTATTCAACTGCCAATAATTATATTGAGAATTTGATGTTAAAGAAAACAAGTGATATACTTGCATGTATAAATAATTATTTTGCAGCTAAGCCAAATATATACCTCCTGACCAGACATTTCTTTCCACATGAATAAGTTTTCTGTAATATGTTTTCCAGATTAGAACAAGAAATAGGAAAACTTGAACGTGAAGAATCCCAAATATCTGCCAAAGAACAGATCATCTTAGAGAAACTAAAGGAGACAGAAAAATCCTTTGAGGACTTACAAAAGGTAAGACGAAAAAAAATCCAAATAACCTGATCTTCTTAAGAGAAACTGTTTCTTTCCAACAACTGGGATACACATATATTGTATCCAGTAATGATGGAGAAACTCTACAGAAGAATGGGATCAGGCTAATGTCAGATGAGTCAATAGAAAAGTAGGCTTTATTTATTTATTAAATTTCACTTCTGCTTTCAACACTGGTCATAGGCTATATAGAGTGGCCAGATATCCAAGTCAACCACGCAGTATGTTTTGTCTTCAACATATGGTATGCATTTGAAAGAAGGCAATGTCATCAAAACAGTGTAAAAAGAAATTTGGATGCTATTCAGTTTAGTGGCTGGATACCACTCAAAAGCAAGTCTTACAGAGGTCAGTGCAGTTAAATACCTTCCCACAGGCAAGTGTCTATAGTAACCTTCCTAACTTGGCATCCTCCAGATGTATTCTTAGTATTGCTACACTAACTGGAAAAGATGGGGCTTGCATCAGAAATGTATCTGGGGGTGCCAGTTTAAGGAATGCTGGTTTATTGGTAGTGCAGCTTAGAGTGATGAAAAAATAAAGCTTATATGGAGTGATAACTGAGGTAGAGTGGCTTAAATATTTAAATATTACAAAATGCTATCTAATTAACTTACAACTTTAAGATTAAATATTGTAAAGCTTTTGTTAGGTATTAAAGTTGCTTACATAGATTATTATTATAATCCAAAACCACCAAATGAAGATTTATTCTGCACAAATCCTTATGTGTAACTGCCAAGGCTGCTTCAAAGATTTTACATGATCCCATGTATACAACCACTCATGATACCATCATTGATTTATGCATTTACTAAAGGGGCTTTTGTTGAAAAACAAAACAAAACTCCATAATTTTGAACGTAAGGCAGTGTAAGACAGTGCTGTTAGATGCTGAACATATTTAGGCAAAAGAACAAATTGAAACTTGAACTACTTATACAGCTAGCAATAAAGAAATTCATAATATCCTAGAATATTGTTAATCAAGTGTTCCTTTTCAATAATTATTTCTGCTTTATGAAGCAGCTTCCTTTTTTTCCAAGACGGACAAAATCAGAGGATAATATCTGCATCAAACTCAAACTGATTTAATATTTATTTATCCTGATCCTCAACCAAAATGTCTCCCAGAATGGCTCACTTTTCTGTTAGCAACAGCAAAACTAAAAGTTTATAATCTTAAAACGCACAACAGAAAAAAGAAAAGGAATGGACAGAGGAGAAAACAAATTAATTTATGCATCAGTTTGTATAATTACTAAGTTCTTACAATATTTGCTTAGATAGAAATCGTTTAGGAATAATGGAATCGAAAGGAGCTTTTCTCTCAGCAATGTCAGTGAAATGACCTTGCTTCCCATCCCTGCTCTGATGGAATGAAGTTACGCTTCATTTAGTGCTTAATTAAGATACTTAAAATGCAATTTGTAGTGGGCTGGGTTGGTGGAGGCATGAGTAGCAATTTTAAATACTTAGGCAGATTGGAACTTGTTCTGAATTCAGCACGGACTCCGTAGTTCCCTCAGTAATATTCCACAAATTACATTGATTTCAAGGCAGGATCCACATGCATAACTGTATTCTGGAAGAAAGTTGAAATATTCATCTGCCCAGTAGGAGCAGAAGTCATTCTTTCTCTCTAAGAAATTGCCATTTTACAAAAGAAGTTTATGAATTCTAAAGAAGTGTTGGCACCCAGAGAAGCTTCTATTGCCAGAATTAGGGAAGAAGAGCATGGAAATTAAGCTATAAAATGATTATAACTTACATTAGGTTCTGAATACATATTTAACTTGCAGATTCCTTTACAACACTACACATAGCACATGCTTCAACTGCGCGTGCAAGCTACGTATCATTGCCATTTCCAGTTCTGAGAGCTGTGAACTCACTAAGCAGCCTTAGAGGAGCTCCTTTTTGATATGCCTGTCAGAGAGAGAAAGTGATGTTAGGAGATTTGAAAGCATGTCTGGTTCACCTGCCAGAGTTCCCCCTCTACTGCGGACTGTCGAGACAAGAAAGCCATTGTCATTGGGGCGCAGGTCATCTTGTATAAAAGTCTATCCATGCTGGATGGGAAAAAAGAAGCTCCAGTTCCTCGCAGCCAAGCATGGAAAGAAACTGAGCTACCAGTCAAGGAACAAGGTCAGCCCAAGCCAGCATGGGCAATGGATAATGGGAAATGTAATTCAAAATAACCATAGAAGGTTATGTTGCCTATTTTAATATGTGCCTTGCTTCTGCCCTAGTAGCACTGTTTCCTTCCATACTAAACGGAGAGTGAAAGAATCCTTGCTTTTCCCATTCAGTATGGAAAAAAAAACTGAATGGCACACATAGCTGCAAACAGGAACAAGAACAAGTATTGAATAAAACATCAATGGAAGAGTTGAGTATGGATGTGAGCAAGACAAAAGTGTATGCATGAATGTGAATCTGATTATGTTTAAATACAAACCTTATCCCCACCTGTCACCAACTCCAAACAGGCCTACTTATGTGTGACTTCCTAGCTGCCTATTCCTATTTTATAGGACTACTGTAAATAATATTAAAATGGTATGCGCAAGCACTTTAAATGCTAATATTATTTACAAACTAACTGATTCCAATGTTTTTGATATTTCAGAGTTTCTCACACCAAGATGGAGGTAAGTGGTTGGCTTTGCTTTTGTACTTGATATCTGTAACTATAGATGATTATATATGAGCATTTTATTTACTGCTCTGCTACTCTTTCACACATACATACTAAGCTTCAAAACAATGTTACTCAAAAGAAGGATATGGAGTAAAGCTTTTTCAAGAGTATTTGATGCCAGCAGCAAATTTTCTTTAGATTTCATGGGCCATAGGTCAAGATGAACCCTGTTCTATATATACCTGACAGCAACAGGGCATATATGCACACAAGTATAGATTTCATCATGATGTAATTTAATGATAATGATAATCAGGTACTTCTATACTAAACACAATTGTTTGAAAATGAATCTTAGCAGCTGAACACAAAGGAAAGATTCCTTAATTTTGATCCTGATAGCACAGGTAGAAACCCCCCAGCCCCTCACCCCAAATGACCCTCATAAAGAATGCTGGGGTACATTAAAAAACAACTTTGGACTCATTCAACTGCCCTTTGTACTTGTATGTGTGGATGTATTTGTTTCCAATAAGACTATTAAATTCATGATCTAATTGAACCATTATCTGATCCTTAAGACATTCCATCTGACCATTTTGTAAATCTCTGATAAAATCTGATTAATTTTAAACAGCCCAAGAAATTATGTGCAAGAGAAATTATCACACTAAAATGATGCTTCCTCTTGGATAATGCTTGATGAAATAGTAGCCATGCATCCTATGGGCTCTTCCTCATGGCCAAGTTAAAGGGCTTCCGTGCCAAGGTCATCAGTCATGGGAGTTTGTCCCTGACATTGTACACCTTCAAGTGCACAGAAATATCTTGCCTTTCTAGAAGGTGAGATGTGGAACTGAATAAGGTTGAAAAAGGTGCTATTAGGAATTCTTTAAATCTGCTATACTGTATGGAGGAGAAGTGAAGGCTGTGATTCATCAGAGTGTGGAAATACTGTTCATCAGAAGCAAAGATACTACAGCACGTCTTTGGGACAGAAAACAGAAAGGTTCAAAGTTTGGAAGGAAGATTTGAAGACTTCCAGAAAGAGGCCTGGAGCTATTCAGCAATCCAGTGTCTGCAGATGCCAGAGAGACAGACAAGGAGTGAAGGAAAGAGCAGGGCCAAGGACAGCAGCAGAGAGAACACCTCGCAACTCACTCTCTCTGTAAAATTAGCTAAGCTGAAAATCTGGCAGCCTGAGGAAGCAAATACCCCCAAAGCCTGTTTAAGTAACTGAACTTTCCCATGCAAGGCGGGAGGGGATACCTATAAACTATAAACAAAGTACAATAAGTACTTCGTTAATAGAGGGGGAATAATAAATTAAAAAGAACTTAAAATGAGCAGTATTTAAGAAAAATAGAATCCTAAAGTACCAGAAGAGCAAGTTAGGAAAGAGAGGTGGCTTTTTGTAATATACATTCACTGTAAATAATAACTCACATAATATTGAACAACGTAAGCAATAACCCTTAGCTTGTAATAATTTATTAACAAATGCTTGATCTACCAGTTGGTTTGTATGGATTGCTTGGTTTGCTGCCATCCCTAAAACATTCAAACCCATGACAGAGCTGCCCACCAATCCCTGAGCTAGCAAAACACCAAGCGGTCATAAACGGGGCTGCCCTTGTTGCCAGTCTCTGTTCTGTCACAGTAACAAAACTGTCAAATGACACTGCCCTTGTTTACTTACTATGAGCCAAATTACAGAAAGGGCTTGGTGGACTTCTCTAACCTTGTTTCCACTTCTGCTAAGCCTTTCCTGCCAGCATGAATGCAGCTAACAATCACTCTGTCTCATATGGTGGGAGCAGGTTTAGCAGACATTTAAAATGGGGAATTTAGCCACCTATCAAGAGTTGCCCACCTAACAGGTAGCAGGCATTAATGATGGGCCTAGAGTAAAATGGGAGGGAGGTTTCCTGATGTTCTTCATAACCTTTCCCCTGCATCCATTATCTGTCTGTTTCTGAACCTGGGTATAACACTCTTCTGAAAGATAGCTAAACCATTTTTCAGAAATAGACCCACAGATAACAGGTGCAGAAAAGAGGTACAGGGTGAAGTGGGAGGTAGCTTTCTCCTGTTCCTGCTCAGCCCAACCTCTCCTCTGCATCTATTCTGTTAATTGAGCTATTTTTGAACATGGGTATGGCACTCAGAGTTCTAAACCCATGCTGAAAAATAAATAGCAGATGTGGAGGATGGACATGGGATGAAGTGGAAGTTCTCCTGATAGTCCTGCTCCATGCAGTTCCTCCCTGACTAATGAGCAAGTGACCAAAAAGTTCATTTCTTAGGACTGACAGCATCTGATAGTAGCCAGGAAATAGCCATGAAAAGCAAGCATGCTAGAGCTGACTCTGGAATTGCACAATTGTGCTGGCTCACACATAATCATAGTCATCACCATGGCATCTAGGTCCATCAGAGCCAGGACAGAGTAGGAAAAATAACACACATGGACACCAAGGTGAGCATACATAACCATGGTGCATTGCCCAAACAACTTTGAAAACTTCATCTGTGTAAGACTAGTCCAGACAACATTGCCTGGTCAGACCAACAGTTGTTGCACTCTTGTGTGAGTCCTTTGATAGAATATAAATTTTAAAAATCAGTAAAAGATCCAAACAAACAAACCACATGCTGGCAAAAGCGGAAGAAAATGCATAATGAACTCAGCTAATTTAATTGACCTCCCGTGCAATCCAGGACTAGTACTCTTTACAAAGAGCGTAAAATGTGCATTTATAAGGAGCCCTCAAAAGATGTATGGACTGCTATGAAAAGTGCTGATCGGTATTACGTGGGCAGGTAGCTCTATGAAAGCAAGGCACATGATCTCCTGAATCCCAAGCCAAAATGACCCTAGAGGGCACTTCCCACAATCAGAGGGGAGAAGGCATGCTCACAGCAACCTGAAGTGGTAAACAGGAGCTGGGCACATCCCAGCCCTTGACTGCATTAGCAGCAAAGGTTCAGTGAAATGTGCCAGATTATATCCACAGCAAAAATTATGTTGTTATCTGAGGGAAAATACAACTTTAAAACCAGAACAGACTGAGGATGACTTAATGCAGAGTCATGAGGACATGGCATAGAAAGAGGTTGCCAGGGCATGTTTATTTGAGACAAGTGAAGAACAGCGCTGTAGTAGCCTACCTAGTTGTTTGCTGTAAAAGATATTGACATAGCAGCCCCTGAAAGCACACTTGCGAGTGAGTGGTTTCTGAAACTTCTGCTTTAAAAATGGAGTTCTAAGTTCCACTTAGACAGCATCCAGAGTTCTCTTTGCTGGATCTCCACTGTTGATGCCAGCCTGATACCTTCCAGGTGTATTGGACTTCAGCATTCAGAATTCCAAGCCAGCAAGGAATTGCTATTGTAAAATGTAAGATATCAGAGTTCTGAATTTATAAAGAAGCCATGGTGCTCTCTAACACATTCCTGCTGAGGGGCAAGTCAGGGTGTTGATCATTAAAAATTTTTGAGAGAATGAAGAAAGGATAAGAAGCTAATCTTTATCTTACGTATGCATCTCCAAATGGTTATATCAGAATGGACCTAAAACTAGAGGAGACTTGTTTAAAATAACTGCGAGAAGGAACTGTCTTGGCAAAAATGAGAGACTTCATCCAACACATTGCTGTTATCAAATAGTGTTCAATAATGTGCCACTCCCAGAAATGTGCCATGAATTATGTCACTTTTTATGGGAGCAGTTTATTGGTTATACTTTAATATATACATCTATTTATTACAGTACTCTTCTTTTGAATCTGCATACTGAAACAGCAGTAATCATGGTATAACAACAACACTGCCTAGATGCAATTTAAGACTTATAAATCACAGAATTATTAACCCGTATATGCTGTTATTGTTAATGATACTAGTATACGTTGGATTGCTTAGAGGTTAACTTGCATATTTTGTTTAAGAAAGAAAATTAAATAGCATGGTGAATAGGCATGACACTGCAAAACTCATTGTCTAGAACTTCAAGACATTTGTTTATCTCTTCTACCTGCCAGTTATTAATGAATTGTTCTATGACTAGCTACGTTAGAGCAAGTTTAAAATAATCACACAGAAATTAAAAATCAGCTAAGACTCTCATGCAGGCACCCCAGCATTTTTACCAGGATGCTCATCAGCTACACCAGTGTAAAATCAGTACATCTCTGTTATAATCCTTTAATTGATTTACAGAGTTATCCTCTGCAGCAAAGTTGCAAAGTGAAAGTAGGAAAGAGCATCATTTGTATGAAATGGGAAACAGTAAAGTGAGAACTAGTCTAAACTGGAGACACAACGAAAGGGCATGGAAGTCTTATGATCAAGTTAATCTTCCTCTCCAGCTGGGTCATCGGTGCCATGCCCATTTGTTGTAACCTGCCTCAAAGTTGGCATCAGGCGGGAAAGACAATCCAACTTATTGGAGTGATCTTTCTTTCCAAAATAAGAAATTTCCCTCCAAACCCAAAGGGAATCCCAATTTCCCTCCAAACCCAAATATTTCTCAGGGTCCATAACTCTTATATGTTTTTGGATGCTTAATCCTTCAATAAATTTGCAGGGAGCGTATTTGTTACAGAGACATCAGTTAAAATTGCCCTGTTCTATTCATAGCATTTAATTTTTCTCCTTTAAAACTCAATTAATTCCATCAGAAAAAAAATGAACAGCTTTTAAGTGGCCATGCAAACATCTTATGTAGATTACTGAAATGAATTGAATATGAGACTGTATATGGTGACAGTTCAGAAACTGAAAATTAGTGCAAAAGACAAAAAGGAAAACAACCGTTCTGATATAGCCACTATTTAAGGAGAATTGCTCAGCTATGTGCTCTGCAGGGGTAGACTCATGGATGCCTTGGTCAAATGGGAAATGTCCCTTTTTTTACAGCATCCCAACTATCACATTCTTTAAAATAACATGGAGCTGCTATCATGGTTAGTGCCATCATGGGCAAAATTGTGAGGGGCTAACCCTCTTCCCTTATTGCCCCCTCCTGTCACCATCACCCCCTTATGGTCGCAGGTTTATGTGAACAATAAAAGAAACAATAGGACGGAGCTGTTTAGCAGCCCCACTTCTGCAGGGCCCGTTGAGGGCTTATCTGTATCAGCCGCAGGAATAGAATAATCTTCTGCTGATCTTTTCTTCCCTGTTCAAATGACATGGTTAACTAAAGAAGTCTGTTTAAGGCTAAAATTGCTCTTGATTAGGTTATCTGTGCACATCACACACTAATCCCACCCATGACCCAGTAATACGTATTGGGCTGACGGGGCCAGTTTAAATTAGTCTTTGCTGGCTACTACCTTATTTCTGAGCCCAGTTCAAAATGCTTGTTTTAACCTCAAATAACTGTAAACACTTTTAGTCTCCCTACTGCCATATGATACTGCCTAGCTATTAAGAGCAGCCTTAAAAATTCCACTCTGCATCAGCAGTATCTGAAATAAGGCAGGTGGCAACTTTTACCTTTTCTATGGTGTCAGCTTTGAATGGTGAAGCTCATTCTCCATACAGCAGAAGCAAGAAAATCCTGGCACAGAAGCTAGATTCACCCTGCACAGACTTCTTGTTTGGCCCATTATTCTGGTGCAAAAGAGACATTGAAAGATGCACCAAAACTTTCTGGGTGCAAACATCAGTCTGCTTCCAAACATAACATTCAACCATAGTTATCTTGACCTGCAGATGTGCCTCTGTTCAATAATGTTCAAATGACATAATTATTTATTATATTGATTTATAATAATACTCAATAAACATATTTAAGCTGTACAAATAGTTCAAACCTCCACTAGCCTACACATTGAATACAACAAATAAACACTAGCTTTCATGACCCTGGAAAGGATAAGAACCCCCATTGTAGCAATAAAAGCATTTGCTTGAGCTAGAGATACTGTACACAGCACCTTACTGTTTTTCCATGTTATACAAAGGAAATTACTGTTTGATTTATTTCATTTTCAGAGGTCATTGACCTGCTGACATCTGGAACCTCCTGATATGATTTCACACACATACCACTAAAAAAGTCTTAGTCATCAGGTCTTTCTCTCTCCAGCCTCAGCTAGACTATTGAATGGCAATCAAAGCACACTGATTCTGCATTTTGCTGCTTTAATTCAGTTATCTGGCACAAAGCTTCTGATGTCTATTGTTTGGGATAATAAGTAGGGACACTGCTGGCTAAGCAATGAAGCCTCTGGGGTCTTATTTAACTGTATTTCCCATTCTTTGATAACTAGATGCAGTAAATTACATTTACTCCCAGATCCCTGAACTCACAACTCTCTATTCACAAGCAACAGAGCCTGTTCCTGGGAAAGACAGAACAAGCAGGGTAACTGGTAAGTCTCAATAGAATTTGGTTTATTCTTTCAGTAAGCCTGATCTTTTAAAAAAGAAGAAGAAAAGCACGTTGGGTTTTCTGGGACGAATGACCAGCTGTAGTTTATACAGGGGGAAGCAGCAGCAAATGACTTGGTAGATATGGCTTGTAAGCTTAAAGAGACTTGTTGCATTTGTTTAAAACAAATACTGAAAATGAGATCCCGTGGGTTGAATGAGCTAGTATAAGATAGAAGTGTTTTGTTTTTAACAGCCGTTAATAGGCAGTCAATAGAAAATCTAATATTATGGTCTATCTATTTAAAAACACAAATAGTAAGAATATGTCCACAAGTAAATTTTTTGTCAAAAATTAACCCTAACTTTAGAATTGTGGGAGTTCTAGAGAAAGGTAACATACTTAATCATAATTGTTAACCATTTCTTAATGTATCACTGATTTCAATCTTACCCCCCACCCATTCACTCAGAATTAAGTTTAAGTTCAATGGCACTTATTCCCATGTAACAGTCTACGATCTACATTTCAGTGGTTTCAATTAATTTTAATGATTTGCTTGTAAAAAGCAGTTTTCACATTCAATATTTCTCCCCTTTATAAATACTTAGATGGGGACTTTTTTAAACTAACTTTGAGGAAACAACTTGAAAATTGTTATTTCTACCATTCTCCATTTAGAGACCCCAGAGGCTGATACTTAATTCTTTCCCCATTAGAACTATGTTTGAGACACTTGACCCAAATATATTTCTCTTAAGGTTGACTGTATGTTCAAATGTGTTGAAAATTAAAAGTGAACCACCATCTCTACTAAAGTAGAACTGAGGAAGGATCCTCTTCTCACGAAGCCTAAGTAGAATATTATTTACTGTAATTACATAGGCTAATAAACACAATTGTGGGATGACAACCATGCAAGCAAATCCAAAAGTCTCCTGAACCATACAATATACCCACATTGGGCCCACATTCACAGAGAATCTGGTTTTGTTGTGGTTTTTCATATTTCAAATGTACATATCACTTCAACAAATCACCAATGAATGTATGATTAAATAATCAATAGATTTTTTTTAATATGAGAACCACAGTGTTTACAAATATGTAACTGATAATTATATTTATATTTATATTTTTTATAAATATATTTATAAAAAATATAAATATAAATATAATTATCAGTTACATATTTGTAAACACTGTGGTTCTCATATTAAAAAAAATCTATTGATTATTTAATCATACATTCAAATCCCAATAAGGGCTATATATTTATAAATATATTTATAAAAAATATAAATATAAATATAATTATCAGTTACATATTTGTAAACACTGTGGTTCTCATATTAAAAAAAATCTATTGATTATTTAATCATACATTCAATATGTAACTGATAATTATATTTATATTTATATTTTTTATAAATATATTTATAAATATATAGCCCTTATTGGGATTTCATTATATACATTTCTTGTTTTTAGAGAGATTCTTGTAATTACTCCTCATAGGAGGAAATTCAGACAAAGGGACTTAGGTGCTATTGGCTTCTATGGGGCCCTTTTCAATGTACATCCAAACTGTGTGCTTATACAATGTATTGTTATTTTTGTTTTCTGCCTGTATATTGTGCTTGGATCCAATCTTATTTTTGGTTTGTTGTGGTTTTCCATACTATTATTTTTGAACTGCCCACTGTCAGTTGGAATTGGGCAGTGCCCAAATTGAAATAAATAAATATATGGTATCCCATTAAGTCAAGATGCTAAGTACCGTAAGTACTATTTACTCTCTCCATTCCTGGTACTAAAAAATATAATAGTATGACAGAAAATAACATTAATCTTCTCTTTCATGTCACTCAAAAAGTCTAGTGCTAAAGACAGCCTTATTCCCCTTCCCAGAACTCAAGAGGGGAGCCAGGCATTCAGATAAAAAGGTAATCAGGGAAGGGCTTACCACTTACTTTAAAAGTAGTCTCTAGTGCTCCACAGCGATATTTGATGATGTACCATCAAGATTATACAAAGGAAAATATGGCTGCCCACATTATCCCCAAATCTCAGATATAGATGTGCCCAGCAAACTTCAGATAGATGAGATCTATGTATAAAACAGTGCTACTATTCTTTGAGTTTGCTTTAGCTAAAGCAAAACAAAACAAAACTATAAACTTGTAAGCCCTTATTAGGGTTTTTTTCCTATGAATATATGCTTGTTTGGCTAAATATAGTTAGTCTATAGTGAATGACTGAGTGAAAAATCCTCATACTAATTACCTTTGTGATATATAGATGGCAGGCCTAAGAATATATAGCATGAATTAGGCCCTATGGAACTCAGTGGATGTTCTGAGTTGAACATACATACAGTAATAGGATAATAATATTAGTATTTGAAATATGATCACTATAAATAAAATACATAAATATTTAAAATGAAACATTCAAATGGTCAAGTGACTCAGAGTATAATATTGTATTAACAAATAGGCATCTGCCTTTATCATTAGAACTGGAGTCAGAACTATGAATTCATGAGCCACAGGTATGCAACCTGATTTTCTCCAGATATTTTAGACTAGAGCTTCCATAACTCTGTCTACTGTTTATGCTGACTGGGGGATACACAGGTTGTATCCCCCAAGACATCTGGAGGCACAAAGTTACATCTATCTGCATTAGAAGTTTGGTGTGATATAGCATAATTGTTGTACACCGCCCAGAGTCACTTCTATGTGAGATGGG